CATTGAAGCCCCCCGACCAACGCCCCCCCCCCCCACGTGTTCTCTCCGTCACACACTGCCCCCCACCCCCCCAAGGCTCGCGAAAATAAATTAAAAGGGGGGAGAGGAGGGTGTGGAAATGAGGCGCGGGAAAAAAAAATGTTGTCGCAATAAGTTAAAAAGGGGAAAATCACTTTTGCGGAAGGGCCTCCTCCCCCCCCACTCGAAGGTGGTGTTTGGCCTACTCTTCCACGACCGGCCAGACGTGGTTTGGAAGAGGTGGGGGGGGTAGGGGGTGTACCCCCCCTTTACCCCAAGCGGTCCCCCCCACCCACCCCCCGTGCCACCGACCGCGGCTGAAAGTCAATAAATAAATACAAAATCGCTCTCGAATGTCACGATCGCGCATTTCGGATTAGCGCGGCTGCGTTATGGTTCAACGATTCCCCCGTGTAGCCTGTAACAGACTGCAGGGGCAAGCCGTGTCAGCGAGTAGTAGCACCTATGAAGGCTGGAACGGCACACGAGGGGGTGGGTGGGCCAGCACCACGCCCGACCGCCTTTGTCTCTCTCCCCAGTGGCGATGTTTACCACACACCGCACCGGGACCTCGTTGAGGCCGAGTCGACCTAGGGGAGGGCCCAGGACCGGTTCGAATAATCGTCACCGGCCATTACGGGTACCCATTCCCTACCCGTACCCTACCCGAAATGAGTGACAAACGGTGACTCATCAGTGACTCACGGCCTACCCGTACCCGTACCCGGCTGCACCAGGGTCGCAAACAGGTACCCGTACCCGGCCGAGTACGGGTAGCCGGGTATCGGGTAGGGTACGGGTATCAGGTACCCAGTTGCGACCTCTGGGATGAAGCCATGTTGCAGGCGCGGGTGGGTTCATTCTAGGAACTTGAATTGTGAGAAGAGACAAGACGTTGGGAAATGAGTGACAAACGGTGACTCAACAGTGACTCACGGTCTACCCATACCCGTACCTGGCCCGGTACGGGTAGCCGGGTATCGGGTAGGGTACGTGTATCGGGTTACCGGTTGCGACCTCTGGCCTCGGGTGCCGATAAAGTCATTTCATTTTGCGTTTCTGTCACGGGTTGCGTTACCGACCGTCGTCGCAACGGGCAAGGGCTGAACGCACGACGTTTAAGGCGATCTTCGTGGTGATTCGGAGTCAGGAGATGTTTACACCGGGGGGGGGGGGGCGGGGGGGGGCAAAGGCCTCTCCCCCCCCCCCCCCCACGTCCGTGGAGGCGTCTTCGGCCGTTTGTGGGGGTCGTTTGACCATACTTCACCCCGGAGGGGAGAGGGAGGGTTTGTCGACGGGTCCGAACACAAACTCGGAAACACGATCGTTTTGCAAGTAGATCAACAAACAAAACAAAAAAAGCCCGAACTGTGTGCGTGTGTCCGACTCAAGTTTCCAGCGGGACGCGTGGAACTGCGTCTTCCCGAATAACAAAAAAAGGCACGAGACGTTTGGACGGCGGCGGATTTGACCGAAGTCGAATTGCAACCTCTACCCCCCGTCCCCGTCCCGATCGGAGCGTGTGGCCACGCGCGGTGCGAAAGGAAGAACTCAACGGGCGGCGACGATGTGCGGAGAGAGAGAGAGCGGTGCGGTGGGAGCGGTGGGCAACGATTGTGGTGGTGGTAGTGGTGGTAGTGGTGGTAGTGGTGGTGGTAGTGGTGGTAGTGGTAGTGGTGGTGGTAGTGGTATTGTGGTGGTATTGTGGTGGTAGTGGTGGTAGTGGTGGTAGTAGTGGTAGTGTTGGTGGTAATGGTGGTAGTGGTGGTAATGGTGGTAGAGGTGGTAGTGGTGGTGGTGGTAATGGTGGTAGTGGTAGTGGTGGTAGTAATAGTGATGGTAGTGGTGGTAGTGGTGGTGGTGGTGGTAGTAGTGATGGTAGTGGTGGTAGTAGTAGTGGTGGTAGTAGTAGTGGTGGTGGTAGTAGTAGTGGTAGTGGTGGTAGTAGTGGTAGTAGTGGTGGTGGTAGTGATGGTAGTGGTGCTGGTAGTGGTGGTAGTAGTGCTGGTAGTGGTGGTAGTAGTGCTGGTAGTGGTGGTAGTAGTGGTAGTAGTGGTGGTGGTAGTGATGGTAGTGGTGCTGGTAGTGCTGGTAGTGTTGGTAGTAGTGGTGGTGGTAGTGGTGGTGGTAGTGGTGGTAGTGATGGTAGTGGTGGTGGTAGTGGTGGTAGTGATGGTAGTGCCCCCGCCGAGTCAAACCCCGACTCAGAATCGAACCTACGCAATTTCCGACAACGAGCAAAAACGTTCCGAGCACAGCGTTACAAACAACAACAACAATATTATTGTTGTTGCCATCGTCTGGAAGAGAAATAAATAAATCGCGCCACAACACTCGTGGAACGGATATCTGACCATACTTCACCACACTGGTCAGTGCGGCCCAGTTAAGGTGTGGGGGAGCATAGTACAGCACAATAAATGTTGCGGCACTGCCCTCTAGCGTCTGCTAATGTAACCCCAAAGCCTATAGCACCTGTGATGCTGGGTGGTCACCCATCCAAAGCACTATCAAGACTCTAAAACTAAACGAGACATTTATTTAAATTTTTACCAGGTAAAGCCCCACTGGGCCACGTATCTGGTTATCAGAAGTGACCCCTTGCTATCACAAACGTTAGCTCAACGAAATTGTGGCTTTTCGATTTAAAGCTTTCGTGACTGCAGGGATTCATCTTCTTGGTTCTTTCGGTCAAGTCACGTAGAAGGGAAGTAATAAAATAATAAAACATAATAAAATACAATTCTCACGACGTTTCGGCCACAACGCAAGCAGCCGTCCTCAGGTGAAGAACAAGTCTTTCCAACAGACATGTTCTTCACCTGAGGACGGCTGCTTGCGTTGTGGCCGAAACGTCGTGAGAATTATTCTATTATGTTTTATTTTTCTTATTTTATTACTTCCCTTCTACGTGACTTTACTGAAAGAACCAAGAAGATCAAGTTGTGGTTTTTCATCATCGCCGTCGCGTGGAAATGTAAAGCGGTCGCCAAACACTCCGAACGCGTCAACGTCCATTCTAAAATGTTGGAAAGGAAAAAAAAAAGCCGGAGGACCCGGAGAAAAATCCACGCGACCACGGGGAGAGAGACACGCAAACTCCAAATATACAGCAGCAGGCGTCAAGGGGTCCTGGATCGAACTCACAATCTCAGTGGGCCTTACTTGGAAAAATAAAAGCAGTTCAGTTTTAGTTTAACAGTAAAATTACCGAGCAAAGCTCACTCAACTCACTCACCCCCCCCCGTCCCTCCTTCCATCAAAAACCACGTACAGTATTTTTGCATAAAACATCATCATCATCATCGCGATAAAAGTAAAACCAAGAACATTTACCAACGTGCGCACGCTGTGGGAGTTTCTTCAGGAAATCAACTGTTGCGTGTGTGTGTGTGTGAGAATCAGTGTGTGAATCAGTGTGTCAGTGCGAGTGAGTGAGTTGAGTGAGTGACTGGGTGAAATGGTGAATGAGTATGAGAGCACGTGTGTGTGTGAAAGTGTGAGTGAGTGTGCAAGTGAGTGTGTGAATGGTGAGCGAGTGAGTGCGCGCGCGTGTTTGTGTGTGTGTGAAAGTGTGAGTGAGTGTGCAAGCGAGTGTGTGAATGGTGAGCGAGTGAGTGTGCAAGCGAGTGTGTGTGTGTGAAAGTGTGAGTGTGTGAATGGTGAGCGAGTGAGTGTGCAAGCGAGTGTGTGAATGGTGAGCGAGTGAGTGCGCGTGAGTGTTTGTGTGTGTGTGAAAGTGTGAGTGAGTGTGCAAGCGAGTGTGTGAATGGTGAGCGAGTGAGCGTGTTTGTGTGTGTGTGAAAGTGTGAGTGAGTGTGCAAGTGAGTGTGTGAATGGTGAGCGAGTGAGTGCGCGCGCGTGTGCGTGTGTGAGTGAGTGTGCAAGTGAGTGTGTGAATGATGAGCGAGTGAGTGTGTGAGCGTATTTGTGTGTGTGTGAAAGTGTGAATGAGTGTGCAAGTGCGAGTGTGTGAATGGCGAGCGAGTGAGTGCGCGCGCGTGTTTGTGTGAAAGTGTGAGTGAGTGTGTGAAAAAGAGTGGGTGGATTGAGAGAGCGAGCGAGTGTTTTGAGTGAGTGAGTGCGTGTTGAGAGGGAGTGTGTGCGAGTGTGCAGGGGAGTGTTAGACGTGGCTAGCGGGTGTGTCAGTCACTGTAGTGAGTGAACGAGTGAGCGTGAACTGCTAGCGGCTGTATATGGATTCTGTCTTTGCACAGCATTATGGGACGCTACTAACATGACTGACGCTACATCATAAAATGAAAGCATTATTATCATTAACCGATTTCCTGAAAATGCTCCCAGGACGTGCGGTGAAACGTCGGACACGGCAAGGTGAACGGCACGCGGTAAGATCGGAGGCGGGAAACTTTCCGGCAACCGTGCGGGCGGTGTGGGTCCAGAGACATCCGAAAACTCGCCGCCAATTTGGCAAAAAATTAAATGAAATTAAATGATGCAACCGCGTAAATTCGTCATCGCCGCTTGGCGACGCTATCACAATCACGGAGCCTCGGTTTAGTATCATTACATTTTCTAGTAGTTTTTGTTTTTTACGCTGTCGCGTCAAGGCTTGCGATTAAAATCGGATAAAAAAAAACGAAAATAAAAACGAAAACGGGCGACACGGATTCGGCAAGCTGGCCGCAGAATCGTTCTGCGCGTGCGAGTGTTCGTCTGCGCGTGCGGTTGTTCGTACGCGCGTCCCATGCGTACGTACGTGCGCCGTGTATGTCCGCGCACGTGCGTTCGTACGCACGCGTGCGCCGTGTAAGTTTGCGCGTACGTGCGCTCGTGCGTCCGTCCGTGCGCGCGATGTGCACGTCCGTTGCGCGCGTCCGTTGCGAGCGAGAGACGCAATCAATTTCAAGGAAGTCAACTTCCCCGATCTTCTCGTTCGACATCTCGTCCCGGGAAGAATTCTCTTGCCGCTTGAAAGCAGCCGACCGGCCGTGGCTCCCACCCCCCCCCCCCAAGCCAACAATCGGGCGAAAGGAACGACGGGGGAGTGGAAACGTCGCTGCGCCTGGGATGACGAGGCGGGCGACTTCCTTCTGCTGCGACGAGGCTTCGCCGGCGGGTTTGGTCGGAGGCCGCGTGCCGTCGGCGGGAGTCGTGGGTGACCCTCAGCTGCAGGCTGCAGGCGACTGGGAAACCGCGTTCCGTTCCGTCACGAAGCTGTACTCGTACTGGAGCGGGAGAGCGAGGGAGGGAGGGAGCGAGGGACAACGCAGAGAGAGGGAGCGGTGGGATGCGGGGGAAGAGGTGAGATTGTATAAGGGAGATGTGGGTGGCACGGTGAGTGGGGGTGCCACAGTGGGGAGCGGTTTACCACCTCCCCCTGGTATACAGGAGGTCGTGGGTTCATTTCAGATCCTTTCTTGCTGCAACTCGTGAGCATCGCCAAACCGCGCTCGCCCTGAAGCCAACAACAGGGCGGCGTTTTTTTGCTTTTCAACAGCAGGTGGCATCGGTACATCACGAACGTGCTGGGCCAGGCAAGGCGTGTGTGGCCGCGCCATTCTCAGGGGTAAGTTTGTTTTGATTTCGGTGTAAAAAAAAAAATGCATGAAAGTGGTGGTGGGCGCTCGCCAACAGCACTTGCCCCAACAGTCTGTTAAGGCTACACGGGGGATCTTCGTCTTTGTATGGAGCATTGTGGGGAGCGGTGGTGTAGCGGTTAGCGCTACGAACCTGGTGACCCGAGTTCGATTCCCGCACCAGAGGCCAACGGCGGTGACGATTGTCTGAACCGGTCCTGGGCCTTCCCCTAGGTCGACTCAACCTTAAATGAGTACCTGGTGCGGTGTGTAAGATCATCAACGCTAGGGCGTGGTGCTGGCCACCCACCCCTCGTGTTTCGTTCCGCTCTGCATAGGTGCTCGCCAACAGCACTTTCCCCAACAGCCTGATCAGCCTATATGGGGGATCTTTGTCTTTTGAATGTCGAATTCGAATCAACGCTGCTGATATGACCTGCTCCCAGAAGGCTGTGCGGCTGTTGGGTTGCGTAGTTGATGTTCACACAAAAGAAATTGAAACAAAATATTTTTAATTACCACATTGTTTTTTTCTACGTCTATTTTAGAAACACTCACCGAGATTATTGAGATTATACTCTTTGGTTCTTTCGGTAAAGTCATGCTACCACAAGCCATTGCTTGTGGTAGCCAGGTCTAAAAAATAGTCATACTGGTAGGAACCTCCTGGTTACACCAGCCCACAGGGGATTCTTGTGTCCGTCTGTCGTGCAGAGAGGGGCTGGGTGGGGAGTAAACGTACTTCATTCTCGATGTCGATGATGGACTTTATGATGATGGACGATATGTCCATCCCGTGAGCCTGCGACACACACGCACACAAAGACAAAGATCCTCCGTGTAGCCCTAACAGACTGTAGGGGTAAGTGCTGTTAGCGAGCACCTATGAAGGCCAGCACGGCACACGAGGGGGTGGGTGGTCAGCACCACGCCAGATCCGCCTTTGTCTCCCCAGTGGCGATGTTTACACACCGCACCAGGTACTAACTTTGAGGCCGAGTCTACCTAGGGGAGGCCCAGATTATCTGAACCAGGACCGGTTCAGATAATCGTCACTGGTGTTTGCCGTGAGCGGGAATCGAACCAGAGTCCCCGGGTTCGTAGTGCAGCGCGCTAACTGCTACACTACCGCTCCCCACACGCACACACACACACACGCACACACACACGCGTGCGCACACACACACACACACGTACACACGCGTACACGCACACACGCGTACACGCACACACACACGCGTACACGCACACACACACACACACGCGTACACGCACGCGTACACGCACGCGTACACGCACGCGTACACGCACACGCGCGTACACACACGCACACGCACACACGTACACGCACACACACACACGCGTACACACGCGCGTACACACACGCGCGTACACACACGCACACACACACACGCGCGTACACACACGTACACACACACGTACACGCACACACACACGCGCACACACACACACACGCACACACACACGCGTACACACGCGCGTACGCACACACACACACGCGCGTGCACACACGCACGCACACACACACACACACACACGCGTACACACACACGCGTACACACACACGCGTACACGCACACACACAGCCGCGACGTGGATCCACTGCTGGATGAGAGTCTCTCCTCCGTGGTCAAGTCAGCCGTGATGGTCGCAACGCCGGTGGTGGTCGTGGTGGTCGTGGTAGACTGAGCGTTAGACTGAGTGTTAGACTGAGTGTTAGGCTGAGTGTTACGCTGAGCATGAGACTGAGCGTTAGACTGAGTGTTAGGCTGAGCGTTAGACTGAGCGTTAGACTGAGCGTTAGACTGAGAGTTAGACTGAGAGTTAGACTGAGCGTTAGACTGAGAGTTAGACTGAGAGTTAGACTGAGCGTTAGGCTGAGTGTTAGGCTGAGTGTTAGGCTGAGTGTTAGGCTGAGCGTTAGGCTGAGTGTTAGGCTGAGCGTTAGGCTGAGCGTTAGACTGAGTGTTAGACCGAGCATGAGACTGAGTGTTAGGCTGAGTGTTAGGCTGAGTGTTAGACTGAGTGTTAGGCTGAGCGTTAGGCTGAGTGTTAGGCTGAGCGTTAGACTGAGTGTTAGACCGAGCATGAGACTGAGTGTTAGGCTGAGTGTTAGGCTGAGTGTTACGCTGAGCATGAGACTGAGCGTTAGACTGAGCGTTAGACTGAGTGTTAGGCTGAGTGTTAGACCGAGCATGAGACTGAGTGTTAGGCTGAGCATGAGACTGAGTGTTAGACTGAGTGTTAGACCGAGCATGAGACTGAGTGTTAGACTGAGCGTTAGACTGAGCGTTAGACTGAGCGTTAGGCTGAGCGTTAGGCTGAGTGTTAGACCGAGCATGAGACCGAGTGTTAGGCTGAGCGAGCGAGGGGTTGGGATCCAAGCGAGGGGGGTACTCGTGCATCGACAACCGCTCACGTTTCTGGAGGCTGTGTCGTACTTCTCGCTCAGGACAAACGGGACCCCGTCTATCGCTGCGGGGAGACAGGCACGGACGCACGCGTCAGGGACTGCAGTTTCAAGACAGGCAGTTCGCTCGCTCAGAGGTCAGGTGGTCGCTGGGTTACAATACCGGTTCCAGCCACACACCCACCCACGGCTACACCGGGTTCTCACGTGCGGCCCGTAGACTCACACACAGAGACCTACAGACACACACAGAGACCCACAGACACACACAGAGACCCACAGACTCACACAGAGACCCACAGACTCACACAGAGACCCACAGACACACACAGAGACCCACAGACACACACAGAGACCCGTAGACTCGTGCACAGACACAGACTCACACGGAGACCCACTCACATCGAGACCCGTAGACTCACACAGAGACCCACAGACTCACACAGAGACCCACAGACTCACACAGAGACCCACAGACTCACACAGAGACCCACAGACACACACAGAGACCCGTAGACTCACACAGAGACCCATAGACTCACACACAGCCCCAATCACATCGAGACCCGTAGACACACACAGAGACCCACACACACACAGAGACCCGTAGACTCACGCAGAGGCCCACTCACATCGAGACCCACAGACACACACAGAGACCCGTAGACTTACGCACAGACCCACTCACATCGAGACCCATAGACTCACACAGAGACCCACAGACACACACAGAGACCCGTAGACTCGCGCAGAGGCCCACTCACATCGAGACCCACAGACACACACAGAGACCCGTAGACTTACGCACAGACCCACTCACATCGAGACCCGTAGACTCACACAGAGACCCACAGACACACACACAGACCCGTAGACTCGTACACAGACACACACACAGACCCGTAGACTTACACAGAGACCCACAGACACACACAAAGACCCGTAGACTCATGCACAGACCCACTCCCGGAGACTCACACAGAGACCCACAGACACACACAGAGACCCGTAGACTCACGCACAGACCCACTCACATCGAGACCCGTAGACTCACACAGAGACCCACAGACACACACAGAGACCCGTAGACTCACACAGAGACCCACGGACACACACAGAGACCCACAGACACACACAGAGACCCGTAGACTCATGCACAGACCCACTCACATAGACCCAAATAGAAACCCATAAGACTCACACAGAGATCCACTCAAATAAAGACACACAGACTCACAAACATATCCATATACTCGGACCTATAGAGGCTCACATAGATTGGGTTGTGATTAAACTGGGTTCCCAAGTGTGTTAGCTTATTGGGTCTCTTTGAGAGTCTACGGGTCTCTACGTTAATCAACGGTGGCCGGACTGACGTAGAGACCCCATCAACTCGCGTAGAGGCACATGGCTTCACATAGACGCCCCGTGGTTCGTGGTCTGAGACTGGTCAGCAAAAATTGCCCCCCAAAAAATGAAACGCATCATATTCCGTGCATGTGCATGCATAATGTACGTTTATTACCATATAAATAACCCAACCGGCAATGGATACCCATTCTCATTTATATGCATTCATGAATCCCATCCCCCCCCCCCACTTTGCTCAAGAAGGGATTCACAAGTGACGTCATCACATCTCTACCCCTTTCGTGACTGCAGGGATTCATCTTCTTGGTTCTTTCGGTAAAGTCACGTAGAAGGGAAATAATAAAATAATAAAACATCATAAAATACAATTCTCACGACGTTTCGGCCACAACGCAAGCAGCCGTCCTCAGGTGAAGAACAGGTCTGTCAGACGCTGTCTTTCCGACAGACCTGAGAATTGTATAATAAAATACAATTCTCACGACGTTTCGGCCACAACGCAAGCAGCCGTCCTCAGGTGAAGAACAGGGCTGTCGGAAAGACAGCCGTCCTAATCATTAGGACTGGAGGCGTGGGGCGTCCCGTTCACCGCCGAATCTCGTGAGCGTGCGGGCAGCCGGCCATTAACTCTACTCAGAGCGGCGTAGTGGCGGCAGCGCCGCTGGTCTTTAACCGACGTCGTTACTCGCCGCAGAGAACCGTAACGACACGGCGGCCGCCACCCTCTCTACGACAGCCGGCGCCAAAACGGTTTCAAAACGGTGCCCCCCCCACTCCCCTCCCGCGTGGTCTTGTTCTTCCGATTCTGTACCGATGACGCACGTACGGAAGCAGAAGAAAAACTGACGGCCTAAGCGTATGTACGCGAGCGTCATCCGAATGTGAAAGGGTTCATTGTGGGCCGAAATCCAGCGCCGAGAATTACAACTATCGAGGCGAGTATAAAGGCGCCTCTTCGATGCGCACGGGAGGGTAAGTCTGGCAAACCTTCGTGCGATCTTTAGCGTGAAAAAGGAGAGGCAGATTTGCCCGATAAAATTCGGCGCAAACAGCGTTCTGTGGCGACGGGGACGTAAATTACCGCGGTGGAATTCCCTCCCACCACCCCCACCACCTCCCCCACTCCGCCTCCCAAACTCAAATCACGGCACGGCGTTTCATTAACCTCCCCAGCAACAACAACAACCACATCATCAGCGGCGGCGGCGGCGACAATGCGGCAGCAACAATAATAATGCAGATAAATTTCAACGGCAGAGCGAGAAGGCAAGGAATTAAATCCTCAGCACATTAATGAATAGAATAATGAACAATACCGTCGCAAAACCTTTTCATCAATAATTCCAATTAGCGCGGCGAGGAAGCGATCTGGTTCGTGCGTGCGGCAAAATAAAAGAAATAAAAAAATGCGACGCGGGAGATAAAATTATACCGCGCGTGCCTTGTTTAACTTGCAAAGCACTCTGGGTATATTTTGTACACTCCCAAAGGGATTGTGGGAAGCGGAGGCTGCCTAATTAAGGGAAACGCCGCGCCACCCTTAATTGCGCCGCCGTCCGTTGGAGGCAAGCAGGAAGCAGTGCCGTGTGTGTCGTGCGTGTGTGTGTATCGTGCGTGTCGTACGTGTGTGTGTATCGTGCGTGTCGAGCGTGTGTGTGTGCCGTGCGTGTCGTGCGTGTGTGTGTATCGTGCGTGTCGAGCGTGTGTGTGTGTCGTGCGTGTCGTACGTGTGTGTGTGTCGTGCGTGTCGAGCGTGTGTGTGTATCGTGCGTGTCGTGCGTGTGTGTGTGTCGTGCGTGTCGTACGTGTGTGTGTATCGTGCGTGTGTGTGTATCGTGCGTGTCGTGCGTGTGTGTGTGTCGTGCGTGTCGAGCGTGTGTGTGTATCGTGCGTGTCGAGCGTGTGTGTGTATCGTGCGTGTCGAGCGTGTGTGTGTATCGTGCGTGTCGTACGTGTGTGTGTATCGTGCGTGTCGAGCGTGTGTGTGTATCGTGCGTGTCGTACGTGTGTGTGTATCGTGCGTGTCGAGCGTGTGTGTGTATCGTGCGTGTCGTACGTGTGTGTGTATCGTGCGTGTCGAGCGTGTGTGTGTATCGTGCGTGTCCGTACGTGTGTGTGTATCGTGCGTGTCGAGCGTGTGTGTGTATCGTGCGTGTCGAGCGTGTGTGTGTGTCGTGCGTGTCGAGCGTGTGTGTGTGTCGTGCGTGTCGTGCGTGTGTGTGTATCGTGCGTGTCGTACGTGTGTGTGTATCGTGCGTGTCGTACGTGTGTGTGTATCGTGCGTGTCGTACGTGTGTGTGTATCGTGCGTGTCGTACGTGTGTGTGTATCGTGCGTGTCGTACGTGTGTGTGTATCGTGCGTGTCGAGCGTGTGTGTGTATCGTGCGTGTCGTGCGTGTGTGTGTATCGTGCGTGTCGTACGTGTGTGTGTATCGTGCGTGTCGTACGTGTGTGTGTATCGTGCGTGTCGTACGTGTGTGTGTATCGTGCGTGTCGTACGTGTGTGTGTATCGTGCGTGTCGTACGTGTGTGTGTATCGTGCGTGTCGTACGTGTGTGTGTATCGTGCGTGTCGTACGTGTGTGTGTATCGTGCGTGTCGAGCGTGTGTGTGTATCGTGCGTGTCGTACGTGTGTGTGTATCGTGCGTGTCGAGCGTGTGTGGTGTATCGTGCGTGTCGTACGTGTGTGTGTATCGTGGCGTGTCGTACGTGTGTGTGTATCGTGCGTGTCGTACGTGTGTGTGTATCGTGCGTGTCGTACGTGTGTGTGTGTCGTGCGTGTCGTACGTGTGTGTGTATCGTGCGTGTCGAGCGTGTGTGTGTATCGTGCGTGTCGTACGTGTGTGTGTATCGTGCGTGTCGAGCGTGTGTGTGTGTGTCGTGCGTGTCGTACGTGTGTGTGTATCGTGCGTGTCGAGCGTGTGTGTGTATCGTGCGTGTCGTACGTGTGTGTGTATCGTGCGTGTCGAGCGTGTGTGTGTGTCGTGCGTGTCGTACGTGTGTGTGTGTCGTGCGTGTCGTACGTGTGTGTGTATCGTGCGTGTCGAGCGTGTGTGTGTATCGTGCGTGTCGTACGTGTGTGTGTATCGTGCGTGTCGAGCGTGTGTGTGTGTGTCCGTGCGTGTCGTACGTGTGTGTGTATCGTGCGTGTCGAGCGTGTGTGTGTAGCGTGCGTGTCGAGCGTGTGTGTGTATCGTGCGTGTCGAGCGTGTGTGTGTATCGTGCGTGTCGAGCGTGTGTGTGTATCGTGCGTGTCGAGCGTGTGTGTGTATCGTGCGTGTCGAGCGTGTGTGTGTATCGTGCGTGTCGTGCGTGTGTGTGTATCGTGCGTGTCGAGCGTGGGTGTGTATCGTGCGTGTCGTACGTGTGTGTGTATCGTGCGTGTCGAGCGTGTGTGTGTATCGTGCGTGTCGAGCGTGTGTGTGGGTCGTGCGTGTCGAGCGTGTGTGTGTATCGTGCGTGTCGTACGTGTGTGTGTATCGTGCGTGTCGAGCGTGTGTGTGTATCGTGCGTGTCGTACGTGTGGTGTGTATCGTGCGTGTCGTACGTGTGTGTGTATCGTGCGTGTCGTGCGTGTGTGTGTATCGTGCGTGTCGAGCGTGTGTGTGTATCGTGCGTGTCGTACGTGTGTGTGTATCGTGCGTGTCGTACGTGTGTGTGTGTCGTGCGTGTCGTACGTGTGTGTGTATCGTGCGTGTCGTGCGTGTGTGTGTATCGTGCGTGTCGAGGCGTGTGTGTGTATCGTGCGTGTCGTACGTGTGTGTGTATCGTGCGTGTCGTACGTGTGTGTGTATCGTGCGTGTCGTACGTGTGTGTGTATCGTGCGTGTCGAGCGTGTGTGTGTATCGTGCGTGTCGTACGTGTGTGTGTATCGTGCGTGTCGTACGTGTGTGTGTATCGTGCGTGTCGTACGTGTGTGTGTATCGTGCGTGTCGAGCGTGTGTGTGTATCGTGCGTGTCGAGCGTGTGTGTGTGTCGTGCGTGTCGAGCGTGTGTGTGTATCGTGCGTGTCGAGCGTGTGTGTGTGTCGTGCGTGTCGTACGTGTGTGTGTATCGTGCGTGTCGAGCGTGTGTGTGTGTCGTGCGTGTCGTACGTGTGTGTGTGTCGTGCGTGTCGTACGTGTGTGTGTATCGTGCGTGTCGAGCGTGTGTGTTGTATCGTGCGTGTCGTACGTGTGTGTGTATCGTGCGTGTCGTACTGGGTGTGTATCGTGCGTGTCGTACGTGTGTGTGTATCGTGCCGTGTCGAGCGTGTGTGTGTGTGTCGTGCGTGTCGTACGTGTGTGTGTATCGTGCGTGTCGAGCGTGTGTGTGTATCGTGCGTGTCGTACGTGTGTGTGTATCGTGCGTGTCGAGCGTGTGTGTGTGTCGTGCGTGTCGTACGTGTGTGTGTGTCGTGCGTGTCGTACGTGTGTGTGTATCGTGCGTGTCGAGCGTGTGTGTGTATCGTGCGTGTCGTACGTGTGTGTGTATCGTGCGTGTCGAGCGTGTGTGTGTGTGTCGTGCGTGTCGTACGTGTGTGTGTATCGTGCGTGTCGAGCGTGTGTGTGTAGCGTGCGTGTCGAGCGTGTGTGTGTATCGTGCGTGTCGAGCGTGTGTGTGTATCGTTGCGTGTCGGGCGTGTGTGTGTATCGTGCGTGTCGTACGTGTGTGTGTATCGTGCGTGTCGAGCGTGTGTGTGTGTCGTGCGTGTCGTACGTGTGTGTGTGTCGTGCGTGTCGAGCGTGTGTGTGTATCGTGCGTGTCGAGCGTGTGTGTGTATCGTGCGTGTCGTACGTGTGTGTGTATCGTGCGTGTCGAGCGTGTGTGTGTGTGTCGTGCGTGTCGTACGTGTGTGTGTATCGTGCGTGTCGAGCGTGTGTGTGTATCGTGCGTGTCGAGCGTGTGTGTGTATCGTGCGTGTCGAGCGTGTGTGTGTATCGTGCGTGTCGTACGTGTGTGTATCGTGCGTGTCGAGCGTGTGTGTGTGTCGTGCGTGTCGAGCGTGTGTGCCGTGCGCGTCTTGCAGTCGAAGGACACGTCGAGGAGGGACCACGTCTCACCCCGGTGGGCCCCACGCCGCCGACGGGGACGGGCGACGCCGTTAATTTGCGCCGTTTTATTTAAACCATTAACCCCTTTCCCCGCTCAACCCCCCCCCCCCTCCAGTTATCGAAATGTCTGCAAGTTGTAGGGTGTGGGGATCTCTCGGAACGCCGCGAGCGGTTCGCCCGTTAGTTTTTTTATTTAGAGGAGGCGGAGTAGCGCCGTTGTTTTTATTTAAAAAGACGTCGTATTCGCAGGAGGGAACCGCAATGCTGCGAAACCAAACTGTGGCAGACGCCCCTCCCGCACGGCCTTGATAGGAGCCTCGGTACCGATAAAGTTAATTTTATTTTATACACAAGAGGTTTTTTTTATTTTTTTTTATTTTTGTTGTTCTTGACGTACATTACGTCATCGAAACGGGGGAGGGTTAGGCACGAACAAACAAACTAATTTCGAGCACGTAAACGTTCCGTCCGACATGCTTTTACATTTTATTTTACTGGTAGGAACCTCCTGGTTACACCAGCCCACAGGGGATTATTGTGTCCGTCGAGCTGGGTGGGGAGGGTGGGGATGGTGAAGAGGGGAGGGTGGGGAGGGTGGGGAGAGGCTGGGTGGGGAGGGTGGGGAGGGGCTGGATGGGGAGGGGAGGGGCTGGGTGGGGAGGGGCTGGTCACCCCGTGGTGCCCTTATAAAACTCAACGTTTAACCTACTCACGCCGGCTTGTGCCCGCCCTCACAGTCGGGCATATTTGCGGAATACACCACGCCTTGGCCGTTGACCCTGGCCATTGACCGAGCAACCCAACGTTCCTACCAGCTCCCTCCGCAGCAGGAATGTGTTACTATTCATTCCACGCATTTGTTACGTTTTACAAGCGAGACCGAAAGCGTTGGTGCATTATCGTATGCGTTTGTATACTGGGGTGTACGTTGAACTTCCTTCGCACCGTACGTAGCCAATCGCCCTCATCGGAGGGGCGGGGGGTAGGACAACGAACCGCTCGTGCAAGAGAACGCATTAAACGCGTTCTCTGCAATTCCCACGTAGGTCTGTCTCGCTCTCTCGGCGAAGAAAAAAAATACGTGGCAGGACCGTGGCAATTACGCACGAGATGGTTTCTTATCGCGCGGGGAGCCCGGACCAGGGATCACGGCGGCTCATTATTTAATCCACATTAATTCGCAAAATGAGAGTGCGGAATAATGCGTTTGCATATCCCTCCCCCCCCCACACACAAACCCCACCAGCCCAACCCCCCCCCCCCCTCTCTCTCTCTCACCGGCCTTTCTCCAGAGGTCGTGATGGGTGTGGGGGGAGAGAGGGGTGGAAAAAAAAAAGTGCCAATCTGTGCTTTCAAGCCCACTCCCTTTCATCGCTTTGTTCCGAGATTTAATTAGCTTTCGAACGTTAACGTTCTCGCGTTTCGACGTGGGGGCTTTTATTCAGATTTTTTAATAATATACATTTTTGTAATTTTTGTAATTTTTTTCCCAGAGACCCCTACCGCGTTGAGCGAGGAATCGCGTGCCGCGATCAAGGCCAAGCGTCGACTGCGCACGTGCATGGCTCGGGTAAAAGCGAGTGTGGTTTTTGGGTTCAAAACGGAGAATGAATTTTACATATAAAACACACTTTGTACATATTCTTGGTTCTTTCGGTAAAGTCACGTAGAAGGGAAATAATAAAATAATAAAAATAAAACTTTATAAAAATCTCACGACGTTTCGGCCACAACGCAAGCAGCCATCCCTCAGATAAAGAAACAGGTGTGTCGGAAGGACAGTGCTCCAATTAACACTGCTAAGCTTGGCAGCGTATTTTAAGCTGGGTCGGAGAAGGAGAGAGTCACTGGTGAGTTACCGTTTGTCACTCATTTCGGGTAGGGTACGGGTACGGGTAGGGAACGGCTACCCGTACCCGGCCGGGTACGGGTACGGGTACCCGTACCCGGCCGGGTACGGGTACGGGTACCCGTTTGCGACCCTGGTGCGGCCGGGTACGACTACGGGTAGGCCGTGAGTCACTGATGAGTCACCATTTGTCACTCATTTCCCAACGTCTTGTCTCTTCTCACAATTCAAGTTCCTAGAATCAACCCACCCACGCCTGCAACATGGCTTCATCCCAGAGGTCGCAATCGGCTACCCGATACCCGTACCCTACCCGTACTCAGCCGGGTACGGGTAGCCGGGTATCGGGTAGGGTACGGGTACCCAATTGCGACCCTGGTGCGGCCGGGTACGGGTACGGGTAAGGAATCAAAACCCGTTTGCGACCTCTGCTCACTGCTCACCGGTTATGCCGTAGATGTTGTCCGCACCGTTGCGCTGAGTGTGCCCCATGGACAGGGGGAGACCCTTCTTGAAACTCGACGGCAGGGTCAGAGACTTTTGACTGCAGGCAATCAACGGAGCGGGGCGGGGGGAGGGTGGGGAGCACGGAATGAACGAATTAATGAAATCGCATCACGGCCCGGGCTTACGATCCGTAAAACTCGTGAATGGCATCTCTTACGAAAGACCCAAAGCGGAAGATCCCCCTCTGGGAGTTTGACTTTCAACGAGGCTGCCCACGGTCCACTCTAAAACGCACCCACTGCGCAAACCGTGGCGGCAGCAGTAGATGCGGGCGATGCCTGATGCACAAACGGAACATTTAAAACTCTCCAGCAGCAGTAGTGATGGTGCGACCGTGGTCATCCAGAACAGAGAGCGGAGTACAACAACGAGCGACGATGCAATGCCCGCAAACACGAAGGAGACATCACGGCAGCGATGATGACGACGATGATGACGATGATGATGATGATGATGATACGACTACTCCGCTGGCTCCTAACGTGGTTGTCTGGCTTGACCCACACGAATGCGAAACTGTTGGCTCTGCATCTGTGTCAGCAGTGGTACGAAAGAAGACTAAGAATTGCCAAAGAGGTCACCGACACCAACCTGAGGGCGAGCGAGCGAGCGCTTGGGTCGCGCAATTCCCCATTTCACGTGGCAGTAGCCGCGTTTCTGTCAAAGGTTCTACGTTTAAGCGATTAATTACAGCACACCAACCTCCGTACGCATACTGGGCGTCTGTGATACAGAGCTTCAGTGCTCATCGGATTCTTTCCTGCAGTTGAAATAAAGATTCCGATTCTGACTGTGCATGCATTACTGCGCCCCGAGTTCGATTCCCGCTCACGGCCAACACCAGTGACGATTATCTGAACCGGTCCTGGGCCCTCCCCTAGGTAGACTCGGCCTCAAATGAGTACCTGGTGCGGTGTGTGACCATTGCCGCTAGGAAGACAAAGACGCCCGGGCGTGGTGCTGGCCACCCACCCCCTCGTGCGCCGTGCCGGCCTTCTTAGGTGCTACTCGCTAACAGCACTTGCCCCTACAGTCTGTTAAGGCAATGCGGTGGATCTTTGTCTTTGTGCCGAGGCAGGCAGTACGTACTGTGACAAGCTGGGTCAGTACGTTCTGTGTCAGTCAGCGCTGTGTGTGTGTGTGCTCAGGCAGTACGTACTGTGACAAGCTGCTCAGTACGTACTGTGACAAGCTGGGTCAGTAAGTACTGTGTCAGTCAGCGCTGTGTGTGTGCTCAGGCAGGCAGTACGTACTGTGACAGTAAGCGCTGTGTGTGTGTGTGCTCAGGCAGGCAGTACGTACTGTGACAGTCAGCGTTGTGTGTATGTGCGCTCAGGCAGTACGTACTCTGACAAGCTGCTCAGTACGTACTGTGGCAGTCAGCGCTGTGTGTGTGTGTGCCGAGGCAGGCAGTACGTACTGTGGCAGTAAGCGCTGTGTGTGTGCGCTCAGGCAGTACGTACTGTGACAAGCTGCTCAGTACGTACTGTGGCAGGTTGGGGTGAGGTGTCGACTGCTGTTGGAGTGCCGCCGATGCCGTCGCCGCTGCGCCGTCGATCGTCGTCCCCATGGCCGCCTCCTTCCTCGCGGGAGCCGGGACGACCTTGGGAACCCGGCCCATGCGGTACCAGATCCGCATTCCGTTGGTCTCCCTGGGCAACGGAGGACGCGGGGTCATCGTCGTCAGCGTCAACGTTCAAATCGTTGTCATCGTCACGATTATCATGACCGCCATCATCATCATCATCACGTAAATGAAACTAAACTATTGTTTATTTTAGCAGGTAAGGCTCCACTGCAGAAGCGACGTGGCCATCACCAATGATAGCTCAACGAAGTGACTTGTCACGTCTGATGATGGCGACGATGATGACGGTTTGGATGACGGTTTGGATGACGGTTTGGATGACGCTTTGGATGACGCTTTGGATGACGCTTTGGATGACGGTTTGGATGACGGTTTGGATGACGCTTTGGATGACGCTTTGGATGACGCTTTGGATGACGGTTTGGATGACGGTTTGGATGATGACGGTTTGGATGATGACGGTCGGGATGGCGGTTTGGATGACGACGGTTTGGATGACGACGGTTTGGATGACGACGGTTTGGATGATGACGGTTTGGATGATGACGGTTTGGATGATGACGGTTTGGATGACGACGGTTTGGATGACGACGGTTTGGATGACAATGGTTTGGATGATGGCGACGATGATGGCGCCACTCACCCGATGAAGGTGTACTGTGACGGGATCTGCTTGGGCTTGCCGCTAACGATGATGTCCGTGATGGCCGCCTCCGTGGACTCGCGAGGGATGAGCTGGACGCACAGTCGCTTCTTCTTCAGCGCCGGCTCATCTGTCGCACAAAGACAAAGGTCCCTCGGCCGTGTAGCCTTTAACAGACCCTAGGAGCAAGTGCTGCTAGCGAGTAGCGAGCGCCTATGAAGGCCGGCACGGCGGACGAGGGGGTGGGAGGCCGGCACCACGCCAGGTCGCCTTTGTCTCACTACTACACACTACACTATACACTACACCACACCACACACCACACACCACACACTACACCACACACCACCACACACACGACACACACTACACCACACCACACACCACACCACACACACGACAAACACTACACACTATACCACACCACACACCACACCACACACTACACCACACACACTACCCCACACACGACACACACTACACACTATATCACACACTACACCACACCACACACTACACCACACCACACACACTACCCCACACAACACCACACACACCACACCAGGAGGCCCCAACCCCCGGGTCGCGGACCGGTACCGATCAAAGGCGGCCGGGCGTGGTGCTGGCCACCCAGCCCATCATGTGCCGTGCTGCCCTTCATTGAGGCGCTCGCTAACAGCACTTGCCCCAACAGTCTGTTAAGGCTATAAGGAGGATCTTTACATTAACCACAAAAACTTGTGGTGAACATGCAAAAAAAAACATCCTCCGATATCATTATATGCATTGTCTTTGAAACTGCAGACACGATTCCTTGCAAAAGGTTTTAGTTGTTTTAACATCTTAACACCCGTGTTATTGCGGTAAAACCTATTTTTATATCTTGATAATGGCAAGGGGGGTCCCATGATCCACACACGATGGGTATAAACCTTACCGTGCGTTCCATAAACACGCGGCCTGTGTACATATCAACCTGTTCCGTGGATGTTTCGGATCACATTCGGTTTGTTTGCTAAACAACATTCTGTTGTCAAACGTACTAGCAACGTGCCCTTCTTCAACTACGCGTCTTTTTTTCCTCCCATTAAACAGCTGCCGTTGCGAGCTTGCTATCAAAACATCTAATTCACGATCTGAAAGAGATACAGTGATCCCTCGCCACTTCGCGGTTAAAGTTTCGCGGCCTCAGTGCATTGCGGATTTTTCAAACTGATTTAAAGGCCTCATTATACCTGTGCAGTAACACCATCATCATCATCATTCATCATCAGATTCATCGAACTGCACAGGTCTGTCATCGTCGTCATTGTCATCGTCATTGTCATCGTCGTCGTCATTACTGGTGAGTGTAGAACACCATAATACGTATCGTATGAGAGAGAGAGAGAGAATGAATGTATAATATTAAGGTTTTATAATTAAATAGATTTAAGTAAAATATATATATAAAGTATAAATATACATATTTTAAACATTCTGGTACCCACACACACATATACGGAAATTCCTAGGGGACCAATCCTACTTCGCGGATTTTCACCTATCGCGAGGGGTTCCGGTCCCCATTAACCGCGATAAACGAGGGATCACTGTAGATTTGTTTTTTTTTAAACTCTCCGCGAAGAATTGACACAGCCAATTAGTAAGGTTTGTCACGTGATGTGCCTACCCGTTACTAGTGTAGCACACACTTGTGAGTTGGAGAGTAGATCCACAACATTTACAACATTTACAATTTGAGTACGACTAGCGACAGACAGATTTGTGGTTTAACGACACATTTATTTTTAAGCGATCTAACCGAAAAATGGATATTGGTCGCGAAAGCTTACGTGTTAAACTACATTTTAATATTTCGATTTAAAGCTTTCGTGACTGCAGGGATTCATATTCTTGGGTATTTGGGTAAAGTCACCAAGGTGAAAATAAAAACTAAATCACGACGTTTCGGAGGCAACACAAGCCTCCGTCATCAGGTGGAACACAACCCCAGCAACATTTTTTTTACCGTAGTAGTTAATTTTATTTTCACCTACGTGACTTTACCGAAAGAACCAAAGAGTGTGGTGATCATTGCATTCAGGAAAACTTCACATCTAGAAGAAGATCACCTTCTTGGTTCTTTCCGTAAAGTCACGTAGAAGGGAAGTAATAAAATAATAAAAATAAAACATAATAAAACAATTCTCACGACGTTTCGGCCACAACGCAAGCAGCCGTCCTCAGGTGAAAACCAGGTCTGTCGAGGCGACAGCGTCTCTAATTCAGACGTCTCTAATTCAGACGCTGTCGCCTCGACAGACCTGGTTTTCACCCGAGGACGGCTGCTTGCGTTGTGGCCGAAACGTCGTGAGAATTATTTTATTATGTTTCATTTTTATCATTTTATTATTCCCTTCTACGTGACTTTACCGAAAGAACCAAGAAGATGAATCCCTGCAGTCACGAAAGCTTTAAATCGGAAGAAAATCACCGTTTAGCGATCTGCCAAACGTGGGTGGAACCGATGTCTCGTGCACACGACGGCTTCGCTCACTCACTTGTATCCAGCGTCTCGGACAAGGCAAAGAATCCTTGGGGCAGCGTCTCCTTCTCTCCGAGGAGCTTCAGATCGGCCAGCACGTTACTTGGGTAACCCTGACGACGACGACGACGACGAAATTAAAGGTGCACACAAAGATAAAGATCCCCCGTATAGCCTTGACAGACTGTAGGGGCAAGTGCTGTTAGCGAGTAGCACCTATGAAGGCCGGCACGGTACACGGACGAGTGGGTGTGTGGCCAGCACCACGCCCGACCGCCTTTGTCTCCCCAGTGGCGATGTGTACACACCGCACCAGGTACTCATTTAAGGCTGAGTCGACCTAGGGGAGGCCCAGGATCGGTTCAAATAATCGCACACTGGTGTTAGCCGTGAGCGGCTATAGCGCAGCGCGCTAACCGCTGCACTACCGCTCCCCATAAGGTGCACACAGACACGCACTCAGACACACACACACACACACAGACACACACGTACGTGGACTCAGAGGTGGATCGGGTGGCACGCTACGGACAAAAACGCGAAAGAACGAAATCGAGAAAGAAAAAAACCTCACAAGCCCGGTGGATAGAGGGCGCGTGGGACGGGGTTTGGTAAGCGGCGTTCGCCAAACAATAAGCGGGAACACCGGTGGGTAGCAGCAAGAAGAGTTGACGCGATCGCCATCGCAAGAGGCCGCACGTTTTTTGCGCCAACGGTCCTCCGCTGACTGCGCGTGATGAACGAATGAGTTCACACGCACGTACGCCAGAGGTCGCAAACGGGTTTTGATTCCTTACCCGTACCCGGCCGCACCAGGGTCGCAAACGGGTACCCGTACCCTACCCGTACCCTACCCGAAATGAGTGACAAACGGTTACTCACCAGTGACTCACGGCCTACCCGTACCCGTACCCGGCTGCACCAGGGTCGCAAACGGCTACCCGTACCCAGCCGGGTACGGGTAGCCGGGTATCGGGTAAGGTACGGGTATCGGGTACCCGGTTGCGACCTCTGGCGTACGCATGCACGCTACCGTAATTAGCGTCATCATCACCACCATCATTGTCATCACCACCACCATGTTACGTAAGACGGATGAAATCGGCAGTGCCACCTAAAATGGACAAATTCTACTGTTAATGTTAATCATGGATTCACTCCTTTGGAACCTCCTTTTGCCAGTAGCAAAATATGATAATTGGTTTTTACCCTTTTATCTGGCAACAAAACTTACACCTTTTTTACGAGGAGTCATGTTTGCATTGACCACAATACCTGCGGTCGGAATGCATGTGAAACTAGGCTCTAAGAAAAGCTGTCTCGGGTGTAGACCAATCAATTTCAAGGACACTGCATACATTATCAGAGTTTTGTTTTTTGTTTGTATTCCGACCGCATGTATTGTGGTCAATGCAAACATGACTCCTTGTAAAAAAAGGTGTCAGTTTTGTCGCCAGATAAAAGGGTGAAAAACCAATTATCAATGTATTCACTCTCAAGAGAGAGAGAATGACTCCGAGAGGTAGGTATGTATGTTGAGCTTCTTTCGCACCGTACCTAAGCAAAACGGGCTAATCGGGCATGCATGGACTAAGGAACGCACAATTATGTTTAAAAATAATGAAGTTGCATGGTAATTTCGCTAATCAACTGCTGGAATGGTAAACTACGTCCACAGCCACATTTTGTGCCATTGTCTTTTTTATGGTGTGTGTGCTGTCATCAGTGGTGACTGGGCCTCTGTGCGAGTCTACGGGCCTCTGTGCGAGTCTACGGGCCTCTGTGCGAGTCTACGGGCCTCTGTGCGAGTCTACGGGCCTCTGTGCGAGTCTACGGGCCTCTGTGCGAGTCTACGGGTCTCTGTGCGAGTCTACGGGTCTCTGTGCGAGTCTACGGGTCTCTGTGCGAGTCTACGGGTCTCTGTGCGAGTCTACGGGTCTCTGTGCGAGTCTACGGGTCTCTGTGCGAGTCTACGGGTCCTCTGTGCGAGTCTACGGGTCTCTGTGCGAGTCTACGGGTCTCTGTGCGAGTCTACGGGTCTCTGTGCGAGTCTACGGGTCTCTGTGCGAGTCTACGGGTCTCTGTGCGAGTCTACGGGTCTCTGTGCGAGTCTACGGGTCTCTGTGCGAGTCTACGGGTCTCCGTGCGAGTCTACGGGTCTCCGTGCGAGTCTACGGGTCTCCGTGCGAGTCTACGGGTCTCCGTGCGTCTACGGTTCTCCGTGCGAGTAAGTCATTGGTGACTGGCTGACTCCAGGATTCGAACCACGGTGGCTAGGAGATGTTAACTACCTCGCCTGGTATACATGAGGTCGTGGGTTCGATCTCGACCCTGATGCCTGCTGCTGTGTATTTGGAGTTTGAATGTTCTCCCCGTGGTCCCGTAGATCTTTCTCCGGGTCCTCCGGTTTTCTCCTCCACATTTAGAATAAACGTCGCGAGTTCATCGGAATATTTGGCTGCTGCTCTACATTTCCACGATGCCGATGATAAGCCCCCCCCCCACTTCGTTGAGCCATCATTCGCGATATAGCCGTGTCGGTTAGCGGGGCCCTATCCGATAAAATAAAAAAATAGTTAAAAATCTTTATCTTCTTGGTTCTTTCGGTCAAGCCACGTAGAAGGGAAGTAATAAAATAATAAAAATAAAACATAATAAAACAATTCTCACGACGTTTCGGCTACAACGCAAGCAGCTGTCTTCAGGTGAAGAATGAGACACTGCCAAGCTAGGAGCTTATATATAAGCTGGGTTGGAGGTGGAAGAGCGCCTTGAAACCCCCCCGCCCACCTCCTACGCATTTCCCATGAATATGCTAAATTCCTCTTCATATGCACATTCTTTTGTTAAGGCGCTCTTCTTCTTCCACCTCCAACCCAGCTTATATATAAGCTCCAAGCTTGGCAGTGTCTCATTCTTCACCTGAAGACGGCTGCTTGCGTTGTAGCCGAAACGTCGTGAGAATTGTTTTATTATGTTTTATTTTTATAATTTTATTACTTCCCTTCTACGTGATGACTTTACCGAAAAAACCAAGAAGATGAATCTTTACTTCGTTATTTAGAAACCCAGGATTTCAGCGGCACGGCCTCAGCGACTCCAGACCTCCGATACGCCCGGCCACCTCGGGGTTGGGCCTCTTGTACGCCATTACGAGGTTCTGGCGATTGAAGGGAAGCCGTTGTTCTCAGGGTCAGGAGGAGGGGGGGGGAGGGAGGCAAGCCTCATCCCGACGCTGACACCAGAGGTCTCAGATTCTCACCGTGACGTCACGCATGCGTGAGGACGACCGAACACGAGCGGAGGTGCACAGCCAAGATGAACGCCTCGGGGTGACGACAAGTCGATCATTTTTTGTACTTTCACACACGCAGGCCTTTTCACGGCCCAAAATTACGGTTTGTAATTTGCGTTGCTTTCCGGGTTAATTCGGCGTGTGAATAAATGCGTTGCTGTAAATCCCTCCGGCACGGCCAATTAATAAAGGAGGTGTCACGTGAAAAACTAAAGTATTTAAACACATTTTTTTTATATGACCAGGTCACAGGCCCGCTATCACGAATGATAGCTCAACGAAGTGGCTGATAATCGTCACGTGGAAATTTGTAGCGGCCCAACACTCTGGACGAGTGATGTTGATCCTAAATGCGGAGAAAAATCCACACGACCCCGGGGAGAGAGAGAGAGACACGCAAACTCCAAATAAACAGATGTTAGTGTTGGAATCAAACCCACGACCTCCTGTGTACCAGGCGAGGTAGTGTGTGGGTTTCCTCCCACCTCTTCTTCCGTGATGTGGCATGGAAGAGTAGGCCAAATGCCCTCCACAGGGAGCTCTCACCTTGAGCTCCCCCTCGACTGGCGGAGGCCTCTTCTGCCAGCGGTGGTGCGAGTAAGAAATTGCAGGGGCTGTGCCTTTGTCTTTAAATGTTTATAATTTTTTTAAAATTCTTATATTTTTATTTTCTTATTATTTTTACTTCACGACCGATGAAGGCGGTCGCGGCTGTGACGCGTCTCCGATTTCTGGTCTCTTCTCCCGCAAGATTATTTATTGAAAGCGCCCGAAACATTATCCTGCTCAGAGACACCAAGTCCACGCTTTTGAAACGGCCAATTGTTTCTGCAGTGACGCCCTTCACTCACTCACACGCCACACACACGCACACGCGGTTGTCCGACACAGGGTGTGATTATAGAGCACCATCCGTATGCGTGTTGTGTGCGTGTGTGAACACACACGGGGGGGGGAGTGGTGGTGCAGCGGTTAGCGCGCTGCGCTACGAACCCGGCGGCCCGAGTTCGATTCCCGTTCATGGCGAATACCACCGATGACAATTACCTGAACCGGTTCTGGGCCTCCCCTAGGTCGACTCGGACTCAAATGAGTACATGGCGTGGTGTGTAAACCTCACCGCTGGGGAGACAGTCGGCCGGGCGTGGCGCTGGCCACCCACCCCCTCGTGTGCCGTTGCCGGCCTTAACAGGTGCTCGCTAACAGCACTTGCCCCAACAGTCTGTTACAGGCTATGGCGGGGGAGGTTGTTGTCTTTGCGTGCGAGTGCTCACATTGTTGTGAGGGCGGAGGCGCGTGTAGCACAGGTAACGGCTCGTCTTTGCCCGGAACAGTCCGTCCTTCCACAGATCCGCATCAGAGCCTTCCATCGTGCGAGCGATCTAAGCACAAGGCGGGAGGGTAAAAATCACACGCGCGCACAACGCAATGGACAGACACGTTAACACGTGTGTGTGTGTGTGACAAATACATCGTCCCCGATGCACGGCATACACAGGGCTCAATTTCAAATCTGCAAATGACGACCAAGCTCATCGCAATAGAAAAATGAGTGCAGGCTGGACAACGGAAAACGATTTAACAACGCACAGAGATAAGGACGATGGCTTTTTTTTTACATGCTACGCTCATCTGCGCGTTCTTCAATCTACCTGCACAAACATCTTTGTCTCCCTCCCCGTGTCGACATTGACACCACATCGCGCCAAGGGATTCATTTATTAATGTGGAGTCTACCTCGGGGAGAGCCCAGGATCGGTTCGGATATTGGCCGTGAGCGGCGATCGAACGCGGGTCAGCGGGTTCGTAGCAGAGGTCGCAAACGGGTTTTGATTCCTTACCCGTACCCGTACCCGGCCGCACCAGGGTCGCAAACGGGTACCCGTACACGTACCCGATACCCGGCTACCCGTACCCGGGATACAGTAATTTTGCTGTGACGGTTCCACGTGAAGACGGAGGCTTGTGTTGCCTCCGAAACGTCGTGATTTAATTGAGATGTTTTTCTTTTTAAACTAGGTTACATTTAAATTTCGATTTAAAGCTTTCGTGACTGCAGGGATTCGTCTTCTTGGTTCTTTCGGTAAAGTCATCACGTAGAAGGGAAATAATAAAGTAATAAAAATAAAACAAAATAAAATAATTCTCACGACGTTTCGGCCACAACGCAAGCAGCCGTCCCTCGGGTGAAGAACAGCTCTGTCGGGAAGACAGCGTCTGAATGGGCACCACCACGCTAGGTTACATTTGTCCCGCGCGTGTCGAGTGACGAACAAATCACTTCAACAAACAAAAAAAGTGATCAAAATTAATTACCTTCAAAAGTGTCGATCCAGCTCGTACTGGGATCGTTTTCGACTGGCGAGATAATTTTTGTTCCTTTCAAATTTGTACAACGCGCGACATGAAATCAGCCCGCCAAGCCCGCCCGCCCGCACGCCCCGGCATTTGGAGCGTAACAACCAGCGCGTGGCCCAGTCTTTAAATAAAATTAACCCGTAAAAACAAAGTTTTTCATTATAAATCCTTTATATGCGTGGCGGCTAGAGTCCTCTCGTCCTCTGGCTTGAGATGGCTGCCACCTATGGGTCAGATGATTGTGTGCCAGCATTAACCAATTGGTAAATAAATATAAAAAAAATTTTCCCTAAACAGTGTAAAATTTTTGAAAATTTTTTTTCATGAAAATTCATTGTCACGCACAACGAGACTGTGTGCAAAATGTCAGCTCGATTGGATCACGGGAAGTGGGTTAAAAAACGACCGAAAGATTTGCACGGTCGTAAGCAAGCAAGCAAGCGAACTTAATATAAAGGATTTAAAAAATAAACAATCGCTTTTAGTTCTGAACGGACAACGACGCTGGTCTCATTTTCACCTCGTTCCGTTGAGTGTTTAATGGAATCAGCAGGAGCCAACCCACAGACGCCTTTCTTCCGTTCCGATGGGCCGCCCGTAACAACGAACGATAACACCATTGGAACCTCATTTGCCAGTAAAAAATATGATAATTGTTTTTTTACCCTTCCATCTGGCAACAAAACTAACACCTTTTTTACAAGGAGTCATGTTTGCATTGACCACAATACCTGCAGTCATAATGCAAACAAAAAACATAACTCTGATAATGTGCACTGTCCTTGAAGTTGATTGGTCCACACCCGAGACTAGCTTTCCTTAGAGCCTAGTCTCACATGGTGTTGGATCAGATGACGCCAAAAGGCGCACAACTCAAAGACAATGCACCATCAGAGTATGAGAGCTCGGGGTAAGCATTTACACCATTGGAACCTCATTTGCCAGTAAAAAATATGATAATTGGTTTTTTATCCTTCTATCTGGCAACAAAACTGACACCTTTTTTACAAGGAGTCATGTTTGTCAGTAAAAAACAATTATCAACGAACGATAATTAGTACAAGTTAATCTTTTTTTTGCGCTTTCGCACGCGACCCGATATCGCGGTCCGTAATTTGCGTTTCTTTTCGGTGAGTTTATGCCGCGTAAACAAACGCCTGTTGTGAACCCCTCCCTCCCTGCCACCCCGATAAAGCCCAATTAATAAAGGTGTCACGCGAATTGGACGTGCAAAATGAATCGCTGCTTCAGCGGCAACCCCCACCGGTGCCCGTTTATATCTGCGGGACCCTTTCTGTCGGTATCCAGATGATGAAAGAAAACAAAAACTGAAAATTAGGCTTCATTACGCCTTTCCGGCAAGGAATACGGAAGGTGTTAAGATGTTCAAACTCCAAATAAACACCCACTGCACGTTTGGCACCTCCGATTAGCACGCTCAGAAAGAGGTTCAACATACATACGTACATAGCAAGGCATCGGAGTCTGCGCTAACCACACGGCATGCCTGTTGTAAAGGATGCAAAACAAGCGTGCGCTTTGATAACACTGGTCAACACACTTTTTCTGGCATAAGGTATTCCAACGGTTTTAATGTAATTTTGGGGTGCCGATTCCAAATCTGGCATCAGTTTTTGTCTATCACATCAGGTTTTTGAGATATCAAATATTGCATTTTAAAAAAAAACTGCGGAAGAAAAATATTAAATAAATGTGGATATCTACATAAAATGATATTATAAACGCACTATCCTAAAAATACAGCACCGTATTTTAACACTAAAGCAGTCACTGACTCGCAACAACTTGCAATCATAAGTGACAGAGTTAACTTCGGGTAAAATCAATGAAAATGGGGTATGCCGATAGCATAATAAGTATAACCCGTAAAAACAAAGTTTTTCACTCTAAATCCTTTATATGCATGGCGGCTAGAGTCCTCTCGTCCTCTGGCTTGAGATGGCTGCCACCTATGGGTCAGATGATTGCCTGCCACCATTAAGCAATTGGTAAATAAATATAAAAAAAAATCCTACAAAGTGTAAACATTTGGAGACACCACGGTCGTAAGTGCGCAAGCAAGCAAGCGAACTTAATATAAAGGATTTAAAAATGAGATGTGATAGAGCAAATCTGAGATCAGATTTGGAATCAGCACCCTGAAATGTGTCAAACAGCTGCAAAAGTCCAGGACAGAAAAAAAATGTTTTGTTTTTGTTGACCAGTGTAATCATTGTCCCTGAAAATGATTGGCCTAAACCAGAGTCACATGCCCATTCATGTGATTGTCTCACCGTGTTAGGTAAGAGAACGCCAAAGGGCGAAAAGCGTCAAGGCAAAGCAAATATCAAACAATCAGAGCTTGGGTTGAGCTATTACGTACCGTGCAAAAGAAGTTCAATACACACATAAATACGTACACAGAGATACATAGAGAACAATTGAGATACACAGTTATAACTGTGTAAGAAACATATTTTGCTACTGGCAAAGGAGGTTCCAATGGTGTAAATGCTTACCCCGAGCTCTCATACTCTGATGGTGCATTGACTTTGAGTTGTGCCCCTTTTTCGCGTCATCTGGTCCAACACCATGTAAGACTAGGCTTTGAGGAAAGCTGTCTCGGGTGTGGATTCAATCAACTTCAAGGACAGTGCATACATTATCAGAGTTGTGTTTTTGTTTGCATTCTGACCGCAGGTATTGTGGTCTATGCAAACATGACTCCTTGTAAAAAAGGTATCAGTTTAGTTGCCAGATAAAAGGGGTAAAACATTAATTATCACAGTTATAACTGTTCAACCTGGGCTATCTCATGCCTTTGACACTTCACATGGCCTAAAAGCGCACCTAACCTGGCACAAGCCCCGATTCGGCCTCAAATGAGTACCCCGTGCAGTATTTAAACATCGCCACTGGGGAGACAAAGGCGGCCGGGCGTGGTGCTGGCCACCCACCGCCTCCCGTACCGTGCCAGGCCTTCATAGGTGCTCGCTAACAGCACTTGCCCCAAGTCTATTTAGGTTATAAGGGGGATCATTGTATTTGTTGTCTTGGTAAATATGAGTGTGTGTGTGGGTGAGTGATTCTATTTATGTGTAGCTGCACATATACAGTATAAGTATATCGGTTTCCAAGCGTGTGTGTGTTGTGTAAGAATGTGTGTACGCGTGTGCGTGTGGGGAGCGGTAGTGCGGGGAGCGGTAGTGTAGTGGTTAGCGCGACCCTGGGAGTTCGATTCCCGCTCACGGCCAACGCCAGTGACTGTTATCTGAACCGGTCCTATGCCTCCCCTAAGTCGACTCAGCCTCAAACGAGTACGATGTGTGAACATCACCACGAGGGAGACAAAGGCGGCCGGGCGTGGTGCTGGCCACCCACCCCCTCTCGCGTGCCGTGCCGGCCTTCATAGGTGCTCGCTAACAGCACTTGCCCCAAACGCCGATCGAGGCTACACGGGGGATCTTTGTGAACACGTGTTTATTGAACAAACTCCCCCGACTGGGTGTGGTGAAAACGCTCTCGGCTAATGTGACTGGAACAGGCGCAGACTTGTTCTTTAGTGCGGTACAAAACCCGCAGGCGGTGGTGGTGGCGGTGGTGGCATCGGCACAATCGTCTATAGTCTACGCACTGGCTCCTCCGTTCACTACGCTGCTCAACGATCGGCCCGTGGAGAGATGTTGACTACCTCGCCTGGTGTACAGGAGGTCGTGGGTTCGATCCCGACCCTGACGCCTGCTGCTGTATATTTGGAGTTTGCGTGTCTCTCTCTCTCATCATCATCACGGTGGCTAGGAGATGTTGACTACCTCGCCTGGTGTACAGGAGGTCGTGAGTTCCATCCCGACCCTGACGCCTGCTGCTGTATATTTGGAGTTTGTGTGTCTCTCTCTCTCGTCATCATCATCACGGTGGCTATGAGATGTTGACTACCTCGCCTGGTATACAGGAGGTCGTGGGTTCGATCCCGACCCTGACGCCTGCTGCTGTATATTTGGAGTTTGCGTGTCTCTCTCTCTCTCATCATCATCACGGTGGCTAGGAGATGTTAACTACCTCGCCTGGTGTACAGGAGGTCGTGGGTTCGATCCCGACCCTGACGCCTGCTGCTGTATAATGCATGTTCTTCCCGTGATCGTGTTAATTTTTGTCAAGGGTGTTCTGGTTCAATCAACGTGCGTTCAGAGTATTTAAAGCATTTGGCTACTGCGATGGTGATAAACCACTTCGTTGAGCTTTCGTTTGTGATGGACGCGTCGCTTCTGAAACAATAAGCTAATAGCTCGGTCGGCTTCACCTCGTCAAATGAAAGAGTTTAGTTGTATTTGCATATATATTTTAATCGATTTTATTGACATTTCTTGTACTTTCTGCATTCCAATCGTGTTTGTTTGTGTACTGTTTGCTGTTATAACGTTCTGACCCCGTGCCCCTACTGGAAACAAAGAGCTTCATAAAAAATGAAAACATTAAACAATTCTCATGACGTTTCGGCCACAACGCAAGCAGCCGTCCTCAGGTGAAGACCAGGTCTGTCGGGAGACAGCGTCTGAATTTATTATTTTATTACTTCCCTTATACGTGACTTTACCTAAAGAACCAAGAAGAGAAATCCTTGCAGTCACGAAAGCTTTAAATCGAAAGAGCTTTTATTTCATCGGATTCACCCTGCAGAATAAATACAATATTCTAATTCCGATTCACCTTGCAGGCCAAGACGATTACGCCATCACTTGTGACG